CTGAAACTAATATTACACTGTATGTTAACTAAGTGGAATTTAAATAAAAGCCTTAAAAAAAGAGAGAAAATCTTAAAACTCAACAATAGGAAAACAAACAACCCAATTCTAAAAATTGGCAAAAGATCTGAAGATACCTCACCAGAGGTATTGGTATTGTGATACCAAATAAATGTATAAAAAGATGTTCAACATCATATCTCTAGGGAACTGCAAATTAAAACAAGATACCAGAGATCCCTGGGTGGCGCAGCAGTTTGGCGCCTGCCTTTGGCCCAGGGCGTGATCCTAGAGACCCGGGATCGAATCCCACATCGAGCTCCCGGTGCATGGAGCCTGCTTCTCCCTCTGCCTATGTCTCTGCCTCTCTCTCTGTGTGTGTGACTATCACAAATAAATAAAAATTATAAATAAATAAATAAATAAATAAATAAATAAATAAATAAAACAAGATACCACTACCTGCCAATTAGGATAAGTAAATTCAAAAGCCCTGACAACACCAGGGGCTGATAAAGATGTGGGACAACAGGAACTTAGATTCATTGATGGTGGGAATGCAAAATGATAGAATGCCACAGCCACTTTGGAAGATAGTTTGGCAGTATCTGACAAAACTAAACATACTCATAACATGATACAGCAATCATAAATATTCATATTTACCCAAATGAGTTAAAAATTTATGTCCATCCAAAAAATCTGCTCATGAATATTTTGTTTTGTTTTTTTAAACGATTTTATTTATTTATTCATGAGAGACACACAGAGAAAGGCAGAGACATAGGCAGAGGGAGAAGCAGGCTTCCTGCAGGGAGCCCAATGCAGGAGTCGATCCCAGGACCCCAAGATCATGCCCTGAGCTAAAGGCAGACAGATAGTCAACCATGGAGCTACCAAGACATTCCCTCATGAATGTTTATAACAGCTTTATTCATAGTTGCCAAAACATGGAGGCAACTATGGTGTTCTATATGGTGAATGGATAAACAGTGGTATATCAGTACAATAGGATATTTTTCAGTGATAAAAACAAATGGCCTAGAATATCTGAATGGCACATTTGGTTAAGTGTCTGACTCTTGATTTCAGCTCAGGTCATGATCTCAAGATTGTGGGATCAAGCCCTGTATCAGGCTCTATGCTCAGCATGGAGTCTGCTTGAGATTCTCTCTCCCTCTCCCTCTGCCCCCACCTCTCTCTCTCTCTGAAATAGATAAATAAATCTTTTTTAAAAATAGCCAATCAAGCCACAAAAAAAAACATAAGCTTAAATATATATTGCTAAGTGATAGAAGTCAATCTGAGAAGGCCACATGCTGTATGATTTCAACTATATGACATTCCAGAGAGGTAAAAGATTAGTGATTGCCAGTTCTATAGAGTGGAGTACAGGGGATTTTTAGAGCAGCGAAACTATTCCACATGATAGTGTAATGGTAGATACATGATATCACATATTTGCCAAAGCTTTTTGTATACAGCACAAAAAGTTAGCCAGAATGTAAGCTATGGAATTTAGTTAATAATGGTGTATCATTATTGGCTCATCAATTGCAAGTAATATATTACACTAATGCAAGATGTTTCTAATATGTGAAACAAGAGGGGATATATAGGAACTCTGTACACCCATTTTTTAAAAAAGATTTCTATTTATTTATTCATGAGACAGAGAGAGAGAGAGAGAGAGAGGCAGAGCTACAGGCAAAGGAAGAAGCAGGCTCCACGCAGGGAGCCCGATGCGGGACCCAATCACGGGTCTCTAGGATCATGCCCCAGGCTGAAGACGGCGCTAAACCGCTGAGCCACCCGTGCTGCCCTACACCTATTTTTTAAATAAACCTTAAACTGTGCAAAAAATTAAATCTATTAATTAAGTAAAAAATAGTATGAACTTTGAAGCAGAATACATGTTTTCAAATTCCAGCTGTATTATTATGAGCTAATTGACTTTGGGCAAGCAACTAAACTTTCTTGTGTCAGTTTCTCTTCTTTAAAATGGAAATAATATATCATACTCAATGGTGAAAAACTGAGAGCTTTTTTGCTAAGGTCAGAAACAGCACAAGGATATCCACTCTCACTACTTTTATTCAAAATAGTATTGGAAGTCCTAGCTATAGCAGTCAGACAACATAAAGAAATAAAAGGCATCCAAATTGGTAAAGAAGAAGTAAAACTCTCACTATTTGCAGATGACATGATACTCTATATAGAAAACCCTAAAGACTGCCAAAAAACTACTAGAACTGATAAATGAAATCAGTAAAGTCACAAGATACAAAATCAACATACAGAAATGTGTTACATTTCTATATACTAATAATGAAGCAGCAGAAAGAGAAATGAAGAAACAACCCAATTTACAATTGCACCAAAAATAATAATGACATAGCCAATAAAGGGTGAGTATACAAAATACATTAAAGAACTAATGATAGTCAATACCCAAAAAATAATTCAATTGAAAAAATGGGCAGAAGACATGAACAGATATTTTTCCAAAGAAGACATCCAGATGGTCAACAGACAGTGAAAAAATACTTGCTCTCACCCATCATCAGTGAAATGCAAATCAAAACTACCATTGATATCACCTCATACCTGTCAGAATGCTTAAAATCAAAACACAAGAAACAGCAAGTGTTGATGAAAATGTAGAGAAAAAGGAACACTCATGCACTGTTGGTGGGAATGCAAACTGGTGCAGCCACTGTGGAAAAGAGTATGGAGTTTCCTCAAAAAGTTAAAAACAGAACTACTCTATTCTCCAGTAATGGCACTACTGGGTGCTTACCCAAGCAATAGAAAAACATTAATTCAGAGGGACACATGTACCCCTATGTTTATAGCAGCATTATTTACAATAGCCAAATTATGGAAGCAGCTCAAGTGTCCATCGATAGATGAATGGATAAAGAGGAAGTAGTGTATATATGTACATATATATGTATATGAGTAAAATATATAATGGAATATTATTCAGTCACAGAAAAGAATCAAATTTTGCCATTTGCAACAACATGGATAGAGTTAGAAAGTATAATGGTAAGCAAAATAAGCCAGTCAGAGAAAAACAAATACCATATAATTTCACTCATATGTGGAATTTAAGAAACAAACAAAACTAGTAAAGGAAAAAAAGAGAGAGAGAAAAAAAAAACAAGAAACAGACTCTTAACTATAGAGAACAAACTGATGATTACCTGAGGGGAGGTCGGTGGGGGGATGAGGGAAATAGGGGATGGGTATCAAAGAGTACACTTATGATGAAAAAAAATAAAATGGAGATGATATTAGGACCTACCTCATATTGTTTGGAAAAACTTGTTAATATATGTTAAATCACCTAAAACAATGTATTATATAGTAAGTCCTACATAAGCATAAACTTCAGTTATTTAATCTTCAAAACAGCTAGCACCATTTTACAGATGAGGTAAATAGCATGTTCAAGGCTAAATTAATAGTGGCAGAACAAGTGTTTGAATCCAGGTTCTCTCCAAAGCCTGTGTTCTTTCCACTATGTACCCTGTCTTTTTATAATGTGTTTGTAAGCTCCTATGTAAAATAAAAAAGTGTTTATAATAGGATATGAAATTTAACCTGAAATTTAAGTGGCTTTATGATAGTTCAAAATCAAGAAATTGAAAATGCTAAGATAGGAGTGACATCAGCAGGATGGCAACCTAGGAGAGCTATCACTTGTATCCCTATTCAGCAATAATAATTTGAAAGCCTTCCATGGCAAAAGTGCCTTTGTGGGAGCTGTGGGATCCAGGTGGGAAATTATGAAACCCCAGTGGAATCCAAGACTGAGGAGGGCCATTTTGAAAAGGCAGGCTTGGGCAGCCCCAATGGCACAGCGGTTTGGCGCAGCCTGCAGCCTGGGGCGTGATCCTGGAGACCTGGGATCGAGTCCCACGTCAGGCTCCCTGCATGGAGCCTGCTTCTCCCTCTGCCTATGTCTCTGCCTCTGTGTGTGTGTGTGTCTCTCATGAATAAATAAATAAAATCTTAAAAAAAAAAAAGAAAGAAAGAAAGAAAAGGCAGGCTTGTGCCCGTGTGGTAGACTTGCCAACCATGGTTCTGGCTACAGATCAAGAAACAGTCCCGTTTCCGTGTTGACTCAGTTATAGTCCCATTGGGTTCTCGTTCTGCCGCCAGCACTTTCTGAGGAGGAATTGACAGGAGTCCTTGCCTATCCATATCCTGTGTAAGAACCCCATGGAATTTGGTCCCACCTGTGGGCCCTGAAGTGGCTCATGACCCAGCTTCAACCCCTCTCAGCCATGATTCCCGCCCACGTAGGACCTTGGGGAAGATACACCTGCCTGTGTACCTGAAGCAGGACCTCCAATTTGGTCGAACTGCAGATCCTTAAATGGCCCTGTAACTTGGCCAGCCACTCTCAGCCATGGTCTGAGAACAATCTTGAGACATATGCTTGTCCATGCCCTAGAAGTAGGCCCATTGACCATGATCCGTTTGCACGTGGCCAAGCCTGCCAACCTCAATCCGACTACAGATCCTGAAGCAGTCTGATCTGGTTCCAGACCCTCTCAGCCACAGTCTGGGGCCAATCCTGCCCACTCAGAAGTTGGTACACTGTTGGAAGCACTCCTAGAGACTCAGAGGGAGCCAGTGTAACACCAGAGACACTTTGTAATATCCACTGTCAACCTCCGTTTCATATTTGGGTGAACTGAGGCACATAGCTGGTAACAGACATCCCGGGTTGTGAACCTAGGTATCACATTGCTGGTTTTAATTAAAAACTGATTATCTCTTATACTTAAAAAATAAATATTAATGAATTTTCTATTAAATTGTTCTGTACCACCATCAGGTTTAAGTCTAATACTAACTCCTAGAATTTATGTTTGGCTTTATATTCATTAGTTTCAAGCTAAAGCATCTTTAGTACCTAAAATTGACCTTTCATTTTAGAAAATTAATCCCTGGTTAATCTGGCATCTTGTACTTATGTGTTGTAGGTGCAATTTCGTTTTCTGTTAAAAGCAGACAAGTCGATGACTCTCCCGAAGAGTCAGATCAAGATCAATATCGAGTACTTTCCTTTGAGAAATCATTATCAGAACTATTCCACAAGTCTGATGAGGAAGACTCAGGTAAATTTATGATGAAGGAGTTTCATGATCACTTCTCAATCATTCACTTTTAAAATGAATACATGCTTTGCATTCATAATGTATATACAGCTGTGTGTTGCATATATCTATAAGAATGTTATTGTATTATTTCAGGATTAACTTTATGTAGTTTACTTTCTGGATTTGTACAGCTACTAACATTAATAGATTAAAATACTTCAGCTTGAAGGCTGTCTACTCTTCCATAAGTGAAAAGCTTTACATATACTTGTTATTAAACAGAAAAATTACAGTACATTTCTGATAAAATGTTATTGAGTATATAATTTTAACAATGTAATATGCTTTTCTTCAGCATAGGAGATGATAACAATCTTCCTCATATGCAGAAGAAAATCAGTGCTATTTTTTTCCTTCCTGTGTTATAAAGATTTGAGTGTTGTTAAACATCATATCTTTTGAGTAGAAATTCAAAGGAAATTGAGGTAATGGAGAATTGGAAGGCACAGGGCAGATTTCCTGGAGAATGGGTGACTGAATTCTCTTATGGGTGAGTAGCAGGGACATAAGAGGACGATAGAGAAGAGTGGGTCATTAGGAGCACAGCTGTGGAGACAATGAGGTATATCAAAGAAGAAATCTTTATTGAATGACTTTGCGTTTAGTCAGGATTCTTCAATAAAACAGACACTACCATAATATAATGTAATGTAAATAGGTGCATATTTATATATAGACAGACAGATGTTGAAATTTTTAAGAATTGGCTGACATGATTATGGGGACTGGCAAATCCAAAATCTGTAGGGCAAGCAAGCAGGGCAGAGAATTACAAAAGAGTTGCTAACGCAATCTTGGGTTCAGATGCCTGAAGCAGGCCAGGTAGGCTATAAGCTCAGACAGGGTTTCTCTTTCAGTCTTTAGTAAGAATGGCTTCTTCTTCAGGTAACCTCAGTATTTGCTTTTAAGGCTTCCAACTGATTGGAGGAGGTGCACCCATATTATGCAGGGTAATCTGCTTTACTCAGACTCCACTGTGGAGGGGGACCCTTCACAGCAAGATCTAAGACAAACAACTAGGCATCAGAGCCTAGCCAAGTTGACACATAAAATTAACCATCACAGGATACATGGATTAAGAGTGATATTTAGGCACTATTCAAAATGATTTGGAAAGGGAACAGCAGTTGAGGTCAGCTAGACAGGCCACTGGGACAGCAAACTGGCTTTGAAATGAAGAGAACAATGTATTTATGGTGGCAATGAGGATAGAGACATACCATTAAGGATGGAAAGCATTAGAGACTAGCATTAGATGACTCTTTTTTTTAAGATTTTATTTATTTATTTATTTATTTATTTATTTATTTATTTATTTACCTATTTATTTATTTGAAAGAGAGAGAGAGCACAAGCAGGATTAGGGACAGGGAGGGCGAGAAGCAGACTCCCTGCTCAGCAGGGAGCCCGATGTGGGGCTCAATCCCAGGACTCTGGGATCATGACCCAAGCCAAAGCAGACGCTTAACTGACTGAGCCACCCAGGTGCCACTAGATGACTCTCTTAAGAGAGGAGATGGAAAGAGAGGATTGATTTCAAACACGAACAAGGTTTGTTTGTATCTTGGTGAATAGAAAAATATCAAGCTATTCATTTAGAAATGTTGGGACTTGGTTAAAATAACATTTGTTAAACAGACCCCTGGGATGTCAGATGGTGTGTCACAGTTCAACAAAAGGCCACAAGGAAAAGTGAAATAGAGCTTATTACTCACAGATCTTGGAGAATGCATACTTCACTCCTCGACAGGCCACATAGGGAGGTCGAGGCAGGGTGCAGACAAAGAGAGAAGAAAGACCTGGACATTAGGGTTCTCAGGCAGAATGCTTCAGGGTTCCAGGCTGAGGCCAGATTTGGTTAATTCAAACCAAAAAGAGTAGGATTCTGGTAAGCATCATGGGGGTCTCATCCAAGTGCTGCACAAGGGGAAGGCCCTGAGAGGCAGAGAAGGGTGCTCATCACAAGGGTGGTTAGGGAGCCATATCAGAAATTTATATTTACTTGTAACCATGTGGGCTGGTATCTGATGTGTGCACTCTCCAGAGAGGCTACTGTCAGTTTAAATCCAAATAAATAAATAAATAAATAAATAAATAAATAAATAAATCCCATGCAGCCCATGTGGCCACACAAAATGGATGCAGAGACAGCCATATTATGGAGTAATTTAGTTGAACTATCAATAAGAAGAAATAAAAAGGCTGGGAGATTATAATGCTTGGCACAGTTTTGTACTTCCTGATTTTGATGTGACAGCTAGACATTTATGTGGCAATAGCCAGTCATCATTTGAATATTTGGAGCTGAGGCAAAAAAAAAAATAGGTTGTAAAGATTTAAGATCAAAGAATAGAGGACTGAAAAAAAAAAAGAATAGAGGACTGTTGTAGATGGATTATGGTAGGAGTGAAACCCTCATCAAAATCTAATGAAAAAAAAAGAAAGAAGAAAGAAAGAAAGAAAGAAAGAAGAAAGAAAGAAAGAAGAAAGAAAGAAAGAAAGAAAGAAAGAAAGAAGAAAGAAAAATCTAATGCAAAGAACTATGAAGGAAAGCCAGGTAAAAGTGTTTGAAAGAAAATCAGAATATTATGGCATCATGTTAATGGAATAAAAAGGAGTGATATCTAATTTAAAAATCTTCATGATGACAGGTTGCAAGGTAGATTAAGAGCTAGGAAAAATGCATCTAATAATATTCCAAGTATCCCCAGTTCTTCAAAGTGGTCTGCTGATATCAGATAGGATTAACCTTCCCATCTCCTGTAATAACACAGGACTTTTTCTTACCGATTGCTCAGCAGTGAATCTCTTTTCAATTAGGGAAGTTTCAGTTAGGTAAAATGAATAAGTTCTGGGGAACTAATTAATGTACAGCAACATGATTACAGTTAACACTACAGTGGGTGGGTATACTTGAGATTTGCTTAGAAGGTAGGCCTTAAGTGTCTTCACCACCCCCACCAAAAATCAGTAATTATGTGAGATGATGGATGTGTTAATTAGCTTGACTGTAGTGATTATTTTATAATGCATACCATATCAAACCAAGGTGTACCTTAAATATAATTTTTAATAGTTATACCTCAATAAAGCTAGGACAAAAAAAAAGAAATGAAAACAACTAAATAAGAATTTTTTAACCTTCCAAATAGAAAAACTTGAAAAATATTAGTAACAGTTTTGAGGAGGGTCACATATATTTTTTTTTTGGAGGAGGGTCACGTTTAAAGAGACAATCTTATGCATTATAATAGGAATTTGAGAGCATTTACAATGTTTAAAACTTTTTTTTTAATTTTAAGTAATCTCAGTGCCCAACATGGGACTCAAACTTACACCCCCAAGATTAAGGGTCACATACTCTACTGACTGAGCCAGCCCGACACCCCTAAAACTTTTAAGATTTTTTTTATACACTTGATCCAATTATTTCAGTCTAAGAAATTAGTTGGAATAAAATAATCAGAGATATGCACATATATTTTTCTATAAGAACATTCCTTATGTGATCTATTATGTTGAATAATTAAAACTTAAGGTTTTTACTTTTACAATTATATTTATATAATTTTGTAATTATGTAATTTTTATTTATATAATTTTGAATACATATTACTCGCACATAATTTTTTCCCACTTTTATTGAAAAATAATTGACATGCATCACTATATAAGTTTAGGGTATGCAGCATGATGGTTTGCTTTACATATTGTGAAAAGCTTACAATAGGTCCTGCTAATATCTCTCTTCTCATATAGATACAATAAAAAGAGAAGAAAGAAAAAAAAGGAAAAAATTATCCTTGTGATAAGAACTCAGGATTTATACTCTTAACTGCTGTCCTATATATCATGCAGCACTGTTAGCTATACTCATCATGTTGTAATTACATTGTAGTCCTTATTTCTCTTATAACTGAAAGTTTGTATCTTTTGACCACCTCCTCTCCACCCCATGCTCTACTTATGATAACCGCAAGTCTGATCTCGTTTTCTGAGTTGGTTTTTTTTTTAAGATTCCACATAGAAGTGAGGTCATACAGTTTTTTCTTTCTCTTTCGGATTTATTTCACTTTATCATAATGTCTCCAAGGTCTGTCCATGTTGTTGTAAATGGTAGGATTTCCTTGTTGTTGTTGTTTTTTTAATGGCCGAATAATATTCCATTATATGTATATCTCACAACTTCTTTATCCCATCATCCCTCAATGGACACTTAAGCTGTTTCCATATTTTGGCTATTGTAAGTAATGCTGCAAAACATGGGGGTTCATACATCTTTTCCAAGTAACTATTTTGGTTTTCTTCAAATAAATACCCAAATGTGGGTATGGAAGTTTTATTTTTAATTTTTTGAGGATTGTCCATACTGTTTTCCATAGTGGTATAACTGATTTTTTAAAATTTATTTATTCATGAGAGACAGAAAGAGAGAGGCAGAGACACAGGCAGGGAAGAGGGAGAAGCAGGCCCCATGCAGGGAGCCTGATGTGGGACTCGATCCCAGGTCTCCAGGATCATGCCCTGAGCCGAAGGCAGATGCTCAACTGCTGAGCCACCCAGGCATCCCATTATCTTTCTTTTTTAAAGTTTATTTATTCAAGTAATCTCTACACCTGTCATGAGGCTTGAACTCACAACTCTGAGATCAAGAGTCTCATGTTCCTCTGACTAAGCCAGCCAGGTGTCCCTACATTTTCATTATCTTAAGCAAAGCATATTCTAAGTTCCTTCCTGGTGTTTTTCTCAATTATCTTTAACCATGGGCTATATGCCTTTCTGCAGACTTAAATCTCTTGGCAGTTTCAGTGGCTGCACCGATCTGTATTTGCCACCAAAAGAGCACAAGGGTTACCTTTTTTGTGTATCCCACCAACACTTGCTATTTTCTGTTCTTTTGATAGCCATCCTAATGAGTGTGAGATGATAGCTAATTGTTGTTTTTGATTTGCATTTCCCTAATGATTAGGGATAAAACTTAAGTTGTAATAGCAAATATTGTCTGAACGATAAAAATGTTTGCACACACATACATAGATATGGACATATCAATTTTATATTATTTGTATACCCCAGTGTATTTATATATGTGTGTGTATCTATACATCTATGTCCTTTTTTTATTTTTTTAAGATTTATTTATTTATTCATAAGAGACACAGAGAGAGAGGCAGACACATAAGCAGAGGGAGAAGCAGGCTCCGTGCAGGGAGCCCGATGTGGAACTCGATCCTGGGACCGCGGGATCACACCCTGAGCCAAAGGCAGACTCTCAACCACTGAGTCACCCAGGCGTCCCTACATCTATATCTTTATTGATATATCAAGCCTGGCATTTTATACAAGAAAAAATAAATATTTACTCTTAGTCATGAAATCATGAATAATTTTCATCTTTAAGCTTTTCAGGAATTTCTAAGATCACTATAGCGAATGTTATTGATTTTATAATTAGCAAAAAGTTTTAATATGTTTAAGGCCTTTAGCTAAACAATGCTTAATAATTATTATTTTGTTCTCATTGATAAATCATCTTTAATCTTAGTCTAACCAACAAACTCATATTCAGTGTACATTTTTAGCACTGTAGGAATTAAATCAGCTACATTACAACACTGTCTAATGTGATAGTCACAGCAATCACAAATATTAAGTGTTATTGTTTCTGTGATAGCTAATTTTATGTGTCAACCTAGCTAGGTTATAGTGTCCAGATAATAGATGAAATATTATTCTGGATGTTTCTTTGAAGGTGATTTTGGGTGAGAATTATATTTAGATCTCTGAACTTCGAATAAAAATGGCCCTCCATAGTGTGGGTAGGTCTCATCTAATCAGTTGAAGGTCTTAATAGAACCAAGAATGACGTCCCCAGAACAAAAAAGAATTCTACCCATAGGCCAACTTTGGATTTGCACTGCAATTCTTTCCTGGATCTATAGCCTACTGACCTAACCTGAAGATTTTGGACCTACCAAGTCAATTATGTAAGCCATTTCCTTAAAATCAATCTCTCTCTGCTTCTGTTTCTCTGTCTCTGTCTCTATATATGCACACACATATCCTCTTGGTTCTCTTCCTCTGGAGAACTTTGACCAAGATCGTCCCCGATCCATAGATGGGCAGACTGTTTGACTATTCTTTGGGCCAACCCAGAATCATGGGGCATTCAGGCTTTATAGTCACGAAGCCCTTTCTCTCCAGAATTACTGTCCCTGTAAATTCAATGTGGATTAAGGCATTAGAAAAGCCAGTGAAATATACATGAGCAACCTAGAAGGAGAAACATTTTTCATTTTAACAACTTTGGTTTATTTTGAGATGTCACATTTAAACATCATAAAAGCATGTAAAGCACAGTCATAGAATTGAAGGAACAGCCATTTCAAACATGAGCAGAGGTTTTCTCAGTAGCCTAATATCAATATAAAGTTGGTAACTTATTCTCTGTTCATTAATGGTTCATTAATGGTAACCATTTAGTTGGTGTCTGTAAAACAAACACAGAAGGCAATTCAAAATGCATAAGTAAGTTCACCCTCAAGAACTTCTCACAAGTATTTGGAATAAGAATTCACATGGACCTTCTCTGTCTCCCTCTCACTAGCTAATTGTTCTGAATGTCTGGATTGTTCTGAGATCCACTAACTTGATAAGTATTTCTTGATAGCTAAAGTATTAGAATAGAATGGAATATAATATAATATAATTAATATAATATAATATAATATAATATAATATAATATAATATAATATAATATTAGTATGAAGTAGTGTATTGCAGTACAATAAGATACAATGCTCTTGGTAGGGAGGAATAATTTTCCCTCTACCCTTCTAAATCTTGGCCAAGACCCCCCCTGTAATAACAAAAAAAAAAAAAGATAAGCAGAAGAAAAATAAACAGAAGTTCAGTAAAGTGGGGTGCCAGGGTGGCTCAGTCAGTTAAGCATCTGACTTTTGATTTCGGCTCAGGTCATGATCTCAGGGTAGTGAGACTGAGCACCGTGTGGGGTTCTGTGATGAGTGTGAAGCCTGCTTGGTATTCTCTCCCCCTCCCCAACATGTGCATGCATGCACACACTCTCTCTCTCCTTGTATACATGGGAGAGACCCAGGGGAAAAAAAAATGACTAACTCCTTGAAATAGTCCAAGCCCTTATCTTAAAATACCATCTCCTACTAAAGACAAAGATGTTGGGGGAAGGAGAGCCAAAAATGCAAAGTTAGCAGGAAAGTACAGTAAACAAGAGTAAGGTTGTTTGATAGATTTAGGTCACTGTCTTCTCCATTGATATGAGATTCTAAAGATGTAATCATTCCAGCTTCCTAGTACAGAGAGGGAGACCCTTACAAATGCAGATTTCCTTTATAAATGTAAATGTCTCTTACTAAAGGGTAACTTCACTCAGTTTTCAGAGCTTCTGTATCTGTAGCTTCTTAAAAATAGTCAGTGCAAAATATATACCAAATTTATACCAAAGATGTATTGTAGGGTAGCAAATTCTACTCCACTTCACCATGCAGTACAATTTCATACAACACAATGTCATTGGGAGCCTTACAGTACAACACAGTGCCATGCTATGTACTGAAATACACAACACTGTCTTTCAGAAGGGAGTGAGAATTCCATGAGTCTGGGCCCCTTATTTCAGATGAGGAAAATGAGGCCCAAAGAGGCTAATGATTTACCTAAGTAAGTCAGCAGCACCTGGAATCTTTAAAATATGACAATACTGATATGAATATGCATATGAATAATGGAAATTGGAGGGCATCTAAAACCATATACTAGCTCAACACTGGAGAATAAAGAATATCAAAGTAGAAACCGAACAGATCAGGCTAACCAAATGGAAAGCTTGAGTTTGATGTAAGTACAAACCCTGCTACACAAGACTGTTGTGGTAGACCAGGGTTCCAGTAACAGGATTTGGAAGTATGACTTTAGATATCACCAGTGACAGAAATGCTTGCTTTAAAAAAAAATTTTTTCAGGAACCCAGATGTAAACATTACTTTGTCACCACTTAGTCCATTCCCAATCCAGCTTCCTTTAGGCTAAATTGCTAGGATCCTTTTTCACACTTTCAAGAAAAGAAAAATCTCATCAATTATTCCTGATTTTGTCCTTAGACTGGATTCTTATAATACTGGAAATGTACCACTGTGAAATATAACACAATACTTAGATAGTTCTATGTATAATATGTGAATGTTTTGGCAATTAGGGGGAAATGATTAGTTATTTCTTTTGAAATATTCTTTTTTTAAAAAGAGTTTATTTATTTGATAGAGAGAGAGCATAAGGGATCCCTGGGTGGCGCAGCGGTTTGGCACCTGCCTTTGGCCCAGGGCGCGATCCTGGAGACCCGGGATCGAATCCCATGTCGGGCTCCCGGTGCATGGAGTCTGCTTCTCCCTCTGCCTGTGTCTCTGCCTCTCTCTCTCTCTGTGTGTGTGTGACTATCATAAATATAAAAAAAAGAGAGAGAGAGAGCATAAGCAGGGGAAGTGGCAGGCAGAGGGAGAGGAAGAAGTAGACTCCCTATGGAGTAGGGAGCTGGATGCAGGGCTCCATCTGAGGACCCTGGGATCATGACTTGAGCAGAAGGCAGATGCTTAACCAACTGAGCCACCCAGGCGCCCCTAATAATTTTTTAAAAGATTTTATTCATCTATTTACAAAAGAGAAACAAAAATAGTGGCAGAGGTGAGGAAAGAGAGTGTGAGGGGAGAGAGAGGGAGAAGCAGACTCCCCACTGAGCAGGGAGCCCAACACACAAGGCTAGATCTCAGGGACCCAGGAACATGACCTGAACCACCCAGGCACCCCTGAAATATTAATTCTTAACTTAGAAGTAAAATACTCTTATTTTAGTGGGGACTATAATGAATTCCAGGAGCAGGTAGAGGATGGGGAGCTTTTATGGGGCATGCTCATGTCCATGCAAGATGATGCTTCTCTTCACACTCAAAAATTGTAATGCAGCCATCATTTCACCCTCTCCTTGGCTCTCTTGACAAATGAGTTTATCAAAAAGAGTTTAGACATGATATCTATTGATGTTTCTCAAATTTTTATGTTAAGTATGGTATTCTGAAGCCACATTAAGAGATTTTTTTTTTTCCAGATGATGATGTTAGCAACTTCCAAGTCTGGTATTCTCTTGAGATCCATAGCTCTCCAGGACCACCAGTAACAGTTATTGAAATGAAATGCATTTCTCTGGTAAGAACCCATTAAATGTTCATAGACTCTGTCTTTTTGTAAACAGAGTTTTTGTTGTACATTTACATTGCAATTCCCTAAAAAAATCCAGATTAAATGAGCATATTAGGTTAAGTTATTCAAATTATAGCAGTTTTATTCTAAATCCAGTAATATGGACCTTAAGTGCTTATGGAAAACATATTTTAGCTCTATGGTATCTTTTTTTTTTAAAGATTTTATTTATTTATTCATGAAAGACACAGAGAGAATGGCAGAGACACAGGCAGAGGGAGAAGCAGGCTCCACCAAGGAGCTGGATGTGGGACTCGATCCCGGGACCCCAGGATCACACCCTGGGCCAAAGGCTCATGCTCAACCACTGAGCCACTCAGGCGTCCCTAGAATCTTGAACTTTTGCTCCAACAAATAAAAAACTTTAAAAAGACAAAAATACTTTGTCTGTAAATCAATTACTTGCCCACTGATTTCTGGGTAAATCTCCACTGAGACATAGAAAATGGGCGGTTAAACTACCGAGATGCACTCAAGAGTAGCTTGCAAAAGCATTCTCTTCTAAGTGGAAAATGATTTAATATGATGATGATAGGGTCATTTCACTCAATGAAAATGTCCCATTTCTGTGACCCTGTTATCACTGGAGAAAAAAATATTTCTTAAATATTATTTTTAAATGACAAAACTTTATAAAACTACTTGCAGTGGAAAATGATCGCTGGATTAACAGAAATCTCTTTGTCAGGACACAGGAGGAAAAAAAAAACATTTTAAATGGGTCCAGGAGAAATTGGGACCATGAGGTGGCACCTCAAAAATAGATAGACATTGAGTCCCTTATTAACTGTATGTTTAAAATAGATATAGAGGTGAGTATAGCTATGCAATCCAAAATAACAAAAAAGGATGTGATTCTAAAATACTAATAGACAAACAACTCCATATATTCTCACAAAATGGTATATAATGTGCCCCCCTTTTGGGAAGAGATGTTAACCTTTCAAGCAAAACTGATAGAACTTAAGATTTTTTAACTCTCAACTTTGAATGGTAAAGATTATCACACAAACTGAGAAACATACACCATCAGGGTACTTTATGTGGATAAGTAAGACTGAGCAAAAAGAAAACAGTTTCTTTTAATGTACTTCAAATATGTTTTCATTTTTAAATTTAATATATGCATATAGAGTTTCAGGAGCACATTGTTTTCATAAGTAATTTTCAAATAATAGCCCTTGTCCATTTTCCATAAAAGACTTGCCCCTCCCTATGTAATAAATTTCATTATTGTTGTTTTTAAAAAATATATAATCAAGTGGGGTGCCATGGTGGTGCATTCAATTTTGCATCCAACTCTTGGTTTCAGCTCAGGTCATGATCTCAGGGTCCTCAGGTCCACATTGGGCTCCACATTCAGCACAGAGTCTGCTTGAGATTCTCTCTCTCCCTCTGCCTTTGCCCCTCCTGCTCATGCTGTCTCTCTCTCTCTCTCTCTCTCTCTCTCTCTAAAACAAATAAATTATTTTTAACAGGAAATTCAACCAAGTATATCTGAAGATCTAATTGGCTTTATTCAACAATTCTGGAATTCGGAGCATCCCATCTAGGCAGTAGAGGGGAACTCTAAGGAGTTGTACAAAAGGGAAGGTTATTATAGATGGAAGGTAGGGCAAGAAATTTATTAGCAAAAGAAAAAGATTGTTTCAGCCAAGGTAGCTCTTTTCCTTAAGGGAAAAGAGTGAGGGATTTTATCATGCAGATTAGCTCATCTTCCTTTAAGGGATGGAGAGTATGTATGACAGATTCATTGACACCCATCAAAAAATTCCTAACTGACCAGTTAAGACTACATTTCTGGGGGAGTTCAAACTGCAATTAGATTATGTATTAAGCCTCTGCTTTGGAGACTTGGCCTAGGTGACACCATTTGGAACCTATGGTTCCTTTTAATTTTGTTTGGCTTGGTTTGATTTTTTTAAGTTTATTATTTTTTTTAATAATCTCTCCCCCCTATGTGGGGCTCAAATCTACAACCCTGAGATCAAGAGTTGCATGCTCTTCCAACTGAACCAGCCAGGCCCCCCTGTTTCTGTTTTTTTTTTTTTTTTTTTTCAAACACATGTAATTCTCATTCAGTTTGTGTTGATTTCCCGTTATTTTTTACTTTAAAACTTTCTGATTTCGGTACCACAGTGTGATACCTATAACTCATCCTGTTTGCGTATGTTCTTCTGATTATTACCAATTTCAATATTGCTTTTATTTTTCATTATGAATAGTTAAATAGTTATTTCATAAAAATATTTAATAATTTACTTCCAAGATCTACATAAATGAAAATGCAATTCCTGAGCCTCCGTTCCATTTAGTAGTTTTACACTGCAATGCAGGAGCAGAATTTAGTGCATGAATTGTCAGATTGCTTTGTTTGTCACTACTGGTAGGTGTGCTGTACTAAGCGATCACTTTCAGCTAAGGTTGGTGGCAAAGGGGAATCTTCTTTGACTACCTCAGTCTAGTTAGGCTACTAATGACAGTGATGTTGCCAGATTATTACATTTTCCCACCTCTCTAATAGTAACTGCCTAAGGTGAAAACATATGTACTCTTTAACTCTCAGACAAGATGATTTAGTTGGTGGAGATGCTATGGATTCTTATTCATGAGAGACACAGAGAGAGAGGGAGAGGTAGAGACACAGGCAGAAGAAGAAGCAGGCTCCATGCTGGGAACCCGACATGGGACTCATCCTGGGTCTCCAGGATCACACCCTAGGCTGAAGGCAGTGCTAAACCCCTGAGCCACTCAGGCTGCCCTATGGATTCTTTTAAATAATCCTTAAATCTTTGTGCACTTCTTGAAGAAGTTTTCCAAATACTTTCAAAAGTATGCTAAAATTATTGTCCTTACCTATATACTCTTTCCTAATATTTTTTTTACTGCATTTGCTGTTTTGCCAAACTTTTGAGAAATATTTTATTTAAACCTTAGATCATCAGATGTAGCAATGGAGTTTTCAAGATACTAAGCCAGCTGATTTTCCATCTGTATCTCAGCTTTTGCTACATTCAACCCAATTTTCACATCTTCCTTAGAAATGAATGGTCAGAATCTCTATAAAATAGGGTTCGTATAAGAAATATTTATACCCTCGAGGCACATAAATTTGGTTACTTCTTAGAGTAGGTTCCAAAAATCAGATTATATTCACAGTAAACAATAATTGGTTGTTAGCAGTCCATTACCTCTTGGGGTAAATTATTTAGTATTCTCTTGGAAATTTTAGCATGATATCTGCTATTCCATCTTGTTTAACCTTAAAAAATCTCTTGTATGTCATATAGTTTGGCTATGTGAGGATGATGAGAGCAATCCACTATCTTCCTACTGACAATAATTTCAATGTACAGCAGTGTTATAAATGTGTTCTGAAAACAAAACCTTAGTGTGTGAATAAAACCTATGCTTTAAGCTTTAGATCAGTCATAGCCTTTATAATATCTGTTCTGTTGTCAGTGACAATTGAATGACTAATTTATTCATCTTATAATCAACTTTTAGTTAAATTCACTGTATTGTTAATGGTGAAACTCAGAAGTCTTTCTACAAGTTAGTAAAAGAAGAGTGTCAGGGAGGAAAACATTTATTATACCTTTGAAGGTTTTTTGGTTGGTCTAAGAATTAAATTGACATGAGACAAATTAATAGGAGAAGATCAAACAGAAGTTTAATAACATGTATACATCCTTCCTGTGTACATGGGAGAGACCCTAGACACTGAATAACTCTCCAAAATGGCCAAAGCCTTCATCTCAAGTCCCATCTTCAGCTAAAGACACAGTAAAATGTTGGGAGTGGGGAGTCAGTTTCATGGGGGGTGAATAGGAAAAGCATAGTAAATAAGAGGAATATTGTTATACAGATTTAAGTTTTGCCTTTTCTATTGATTAAGAGTCTCTAGAGATTCAAAGTCATCCCTCACCGCTTCCTAGTGCAGTGTGGGAGACACTCTTACAAATGCAGATTTTCCGTATAAATGTAAATGTCTCTTACAATAGGGTAACTCCTACTTGGTTTTCCGAGGAGCTTCTAGTGTGTTTGTTGTTTCTTAAAAATAACCAGTTTAAAATAATCATTATGCCAAAGAGCCATATCTTGGGATGGCAAAATTTTCTTCCCTTCAGGAGCATAGTTAAAAACACTACTAATGCCCTTGGCGTCAAATGTAAAAACGTTCATACAAAACAACATTTGTGAGTTGCCAACCATTTTCAACTAATTTTTAGTTTAAAATTTTACCCTTCGGGGGCACCAGGGTTGCTCAGCAGTTGAGCATCTACCTTCAGGTCGTGATCCTGGGGTCCCGGGATCAAGTCCCACATCCAGCTCCCTATGGGGAGCCTGCTTCTCCCTCTGCCTATGTCTCTGCCTCTCTCTCTCTCTCTCTGTCTCTCTCATGTATAAATAAATAAAATCTGAAAAAAATATTTTTTTTAAATTTTTATTTATTTATTTATGATAGTCACACACAGAGAGAGAGAGAGAGAGGCAGAGACACAGGCAGAGGGAGAAGCAGGCTCCATGCACTGGGAGCCTGACGTGGGACTCGATCCTGGGTCTCCAGCATCGCTCCCTGGGCCAAAGGCAGGCGCTAAACCGCTGCGCCACCCAGGGATCCCTGAAAAAAATATTTTACCCTTCACAATAAAAATGTATATATTTTGATTTACTCATTTTGCTATGTTTTTCTTATTTTCTTTGTGTTTTTATATTCTTTATTTTTTCTAGGTGAAAGATCGTATATAATTGGTGTTGTACATGATCTTGAAATTTTTCTTCCTCATGAAACGTTGATGTAAAAAAATTAAAATTCTGCTTTGAATTTATCTTGAGAAGATAAAATGTAGACCCTATGTGTACATGTACATGTATGTATCTACATATACAGTCCTGAGCATGCCATGAAGGCACACACACGAGTTGTGCTTTTCCACAATGTC